CTTCCAGAATACAGGTCACAAAAAGAACAGAGTGACTGGAAACAAAATAGTAATGGTAATTTTTAAGGGGGGTTTATCTTATAAAAGATCAGATTTTCTCTAAGCTGTTCAACACAAAATAATTTCTGCTACACAGGCTGTATATGAAGTTATTTAGAATGCTATTGCACAAAAATGCTGTGCAGACAGTGTGCAAGTATTGCAGAATATTGTAGCATGCCACAATTTAAACAATTCAACACTTTAATGTGATGATACAAAATAATCTCCCCTCCAGATGTACCAGGAACTAAATCCCACAGCACCCTATAGTTCTTCTCTCAAATTCCATCTCAAACTACTGGAAAGAAATAAAGCTAAAATTACACACAAGTCTCAGGTGCCTTTTCTGAACTTAACCGAACTTCACCAACAGGTGAGATAGAAGCTCAACTGGTTACTGATGGCTGGACATAAATATCCTGCCTAATTTCTAGAAGAGTAAGTGGACTGAAAGAAATCTTTCTTTGTACTATTTCTCAAAGAGCACGCCAGCTGACTCATCTTCCTGCCTAAAGTACAACATGAAAGTAAAGCAAAGCAAAACAGAATAGCTCAAATTATCAGAACCAAAATTGCTTTCTAGAGTAGCAGGAGATAGACTAAAAACAAAATTGGATGCCAATTCAAAAACTGCCATTAAATTTCCAGGAAGCCAATCCACCAAGGAACATACTGCACCCTAGAGAGTCCTTAATGAATAGTGACACATTTGCAATAGGCTAGTTAAGGTTTTGCCAGCATTTAGGTTTTAAATCCCTCATATAGTAGCAAAACAAACTTGGAACTCACTGAAAAATTATATACATGGTTCCAGTCCAGGAAGAGAGACTCTGGGAGGGAGGTGGGGAGAAAGCGTTAGTGCCACAGTAGGTTGGATGTCATATTTTAATTTTAAAAATAAAAAATAAATTAAAATTTGAATAAAAAGGAGAAGCTTTAAACCATTACAAGTTCCAAAGGCGGAAAACATTCTGGCAGGCATTTAAGGCTGAATCCTTCAGGTAGTAAGTGCCCTTGAGTCTTAGCTCAGTGGGACACGGGTTGCTAGCATCCCCCCCAAAGAATGAGAGATCCCCAATGTCTGAGTACACATTTAACATCCATGGGTCTCAAAGCATGAAGTTGTTTCTGGGATCTGGATCACTGTCCATCTATACTTCCTCTGTTATGCTTGCATTAAAGAACTTGATCTTTCTTCTTTCACAGGGCTGATGATGTTTACAGTCCAGGGCCCAGAAGATAAGCAATATAAGCTTTCAAACATGATGAAATATGAAGTACATATAAGAGCTTTATGCACTGAATATAATTTGCATTATATGGAGCATTACTCTCCCCTTGATGTTTATATATGGAGTATTTAATGGTATCTTGGCACTGTTTTTTTTTTTAACTAGAAGCTATATGGCATCTAATTTGGAGCCCCTACAGTTTCCAGCCCCATCAGCTGGAACAGACTGCACGCTTCTGACTTCCAGTTCTTGGAAATGGATTGCAATAGTGCAGAGAGGAAGCAGCATTAGACATTGTTAAGAGAATGGACAGCGCAGACAGAGGCACCTCATGACCATCCAATCTGCATTAAATTGTCTCAGTACTCAAGTAAGGCCAGGAGGATTAAAGATAAAGATGGTAAGCTCAAAGCAAAGCCAGTAAGTGATTTCAGTACAAAATGGAGGCCCACGAGTTGCCTGCCTACATCCTTCACTGTCCTAAATGCCTCTAAATGTCTTGTATCCTTCAATACTCCTGGTACCTTCACAGCTCTGCACATATACCCAAGAACTGCCTGCCAAGTGCCTCAGGCTTTGGCTGCAGCCAGGTCTGTCCCAGTTGTGAACCCCAGCTCCAGCAATGGGTCATGCAAGGATCCCCATTTTATCCTGCCCCATGCATTGTGCTGGAGTAACAGGTGACAGCAAACAGGTATTGGGGCTCCAGAGCCATGCCACAGCCTTCCCTTCTTGTTTATTGCCAGCTCAGCACTGATTACTGCCCCTTTGAAGCACCCACCCATTTAGAAGAACCACAGGTTTCTCATAGAGTCCAGGCTGTGCCTCAGACAGCAGTGGCAGTCTGCTATGACTTTTCTTAGAAAGGAAGTTGGGTACAACAGAACAGTTCCTAGGTCAGAACTCAGGAGCTCCCCACCCTGTCTAATATAGGACTTTCCACAGTAGGCCAGTATTGTCTTAATTTTACTTGATTTTGTTAAGTATTTGGACACTACAAGCTACAAAAGAGCCATATATACATGTACCTGAAACATGACTACCTTTAACATAGCCAGGTTTTATCCATTCACAACATTAAGACCCTCTAAGTCAACATTCATCCTGACTAGCAATTACTGAGGAGAAATCAATATAACTCAGAACATTTTCTTTCACACACTATTGTCCCCCCCAGCATAAACCATCAGACAAGAGCCTGACCTTCTTGCATAAACCTCTTTTCTACAAACAGGTGGAGTTTAGTAGGAGGGCAAATGAATCTTAAGATGATTCAGAGAGCAGACAATGCTCTAAAAAGAACAGTTTTCTCGTTTCCATTATTATACCAA